AAAAAAAAAAAAACGCGAAGGAGAAGATTGTAGTCTTTATCGTCATCGTCGTCGTCGTCTTGGTGGCTGTACATACATACGAAACAAGCGACGACGCTCGTATTTGACAAAAGAAGGACATAGTGTGACTGTAGAATGAAAGAAAAAGAGTGAAAAAGAAAGAAAAAGACGAATCACTCTATTGCCCACGTTTGGTTTGTATCGCGACGAACGAACGAACGAACGGAAGGCAGATTAGAGATCAACATAATAAAATTCGCCATACTATGTGTCACTATTGCTCAGTCATTCTTTTACTCTTTTTCTCATCATTTTGTTAGCTTTCTATTCTTACTTCTTGTTCTATAAACATCAACAACAACATCAACAACAACAATCAACGAAACGATTCGCTTGTTCTGTTCGTAGTATACATATTAGACGTGATTTTTTTTACTTGTATTAACTGCTTTCATTCGTTGTCGTTACCTGACTCGTTCTCATTCAGTCATCCGTGTGACGAACAACATTTTATAACGCGCATGTACACACATAACTAACTCAAAATAAACGAAACAATAATCAGCTATGTTAATGTCTTCTGCACCTACACAGTTATTAACTATTCACCAAACTGGACAAACAGCTCCAACATCTATATCTCCAACATTGTCTCCACTAACATCGTAAGAAAATTCAAAAATAAAATTCTAATATTAAAAAATAAAATTTCTTCTTATAGAACTCCACCGCCAGCAACTCAAACTGACCCGTCACTAACTGATAATCCTGAATATTTATCACAATTATTAAAAGATAAACGACAACTAGCAGCAGTACCGAATATGTTTATGCATATTGAACGATTACTTGATCAAGGTAAATGAATATATTTGTTAAAAGAAAATTAATTTATATAAAAATTTATTCTTCTTTTTAGAAATTAATAAAGTTCGAGTGAATCTATTTAATTTAAGTACACGTCCGAAGATGGAATTACCAGAACCAAATGGAGAAAAGAAAATTTTTCAAGAAAAAGTATTTATTCCGGTGCAACAACATCCTGAAGTAAGTTTAGTTGAAATTATGCTGACTAATATTATAAACTTATACAAGTTCTATCCTTTTTTGCTTTCTTTTGCCAACATATAACAACAATGCATGAATCCTTTGTTCAATACTATGCAGTAATAATAACATAAAGAGTGCAGATGTACTTTATTGGTTTTCATTGTTTACATTTTTATCAAGTATTCCTAAGCGTTAGAGTTTGAAAATTTTTATTACTCTAGATTGACTAGTTCGTCGATATTTATACGGTAAAAAATTTCTTACATTTGGGCAAAGCAGTTTCTTGCTCTTTCAAATAAAAAAAAAAATACTCAACACATACGTCTTGTCTAAAATTCACTATCACATCCTTGTATCTGTTTATTTCTCATATGCTTCTGCACAGTAAAAACACTTCAATCGACTCATTGATTTACACAAACAAACAAAAAAAAATCAACAAACTACTACTTATTCCATTGATTTCTCGTATAATTTAAATTGCGCTTTAATATTAAAATAACTTGATCGGAAGGATTCTCATTATGTTAATTATTTGTCTCTCTCTAAAAAAAACTCTTTTAATTATTTTTCTAGTTTATATTGATCATCATGGGTGTGTTCGGTAATTTTTTTTTCTTTAATATAATCATATTGTCTTGCATGTTTATTGGCTCAATCCATATCATTTCATTGTCTTTTTTTTTTAATAACCTATTATTCGTCCATCGTTCGTTTGTGCGTGTCGCATGCCGAACAAAAACATATATAAAACAAAAAAAAAACTTAGCTAATCAAATTACTTTATTTATATTTAATTTCCAACTATATTTGTGTTCATTTCACTACTCGATCGTGTTTTGACTTTTCAAAAATAACAAAACGTTTTTTAATATAATGATAATATTTATGCTTTTCTTTTTTGTTTTGTTTATAGTTTAACTTCGTTGGTCGAATATTGGGTCCACGAGGTATGACAGCCAAACAGCTTGAAGCTGATACTGGTTGTAAAATAATGGTTCGAGGTCGAGGATCAATGAGAGATAAACAAAAAGTAATTAAAAATTTTTCTTAATATTATTTAAATTCGATTTTTTTCTAGGAAGATCAAAATCGTGGTAAAGCAAATTGGGAGCATTTAGATGAAGAATTACATGTATTAATTCAATGTGAAGATCATGAAAATCGTGCATTGGTTAAACTTGAACGAGCAAAAGAAGAAATTATGAAATTATTAAAACCAGCGGTATAAATAAATTCCTTTTTGTTTTGATTTCTATAAAATATGAGTAAATTTTAGGCTGAAGGTGAAGATGATTTGAAAAAGAAACAATTAATGGAATTAGCTATTATTAATGGTACATATCGTGAACCAAATTTATTCCAAAAGAAATTACAACAATTACAATTTCAAAATAATCGAATGCCTATAGGCGCGCCATTAATATTAACACCACGTATGCAACAAAATCTTCTTGCAGCACAAATTCAACAAGGTTCAACACAAACAATGTTTACAACTACAAATGGGCAAGGACAACAAACATTAACAGCTGTTCCACAAGGTTCACTTATTCAGACTACATCAGCAAATGGTGAACAGAATTTCGTTCAAGTATTTGCACCATTACAAACACTTGATCAAATGGGAGGAATGATTGCTGGTGGTGCACAATTATTCGAATATCCAACACAACTTGATCCAAGTCAAGCAAGTACATACTTTGATTTATTTACTTTTACTCTTCGGAATAATAATCTTATGCATTTTTCTTTTCAATCTTCTAGCTTTTCCGTTTCTGACCGCAACTACAAGTTCAAACCCAGCAGGTATCAAATTTAATTCACTTTATCTTTTGTCCTCCGCTCTTCGGTCGACACCACGCACTTGCTGTTATTGCCATGATAGGCATCATCATCAGCAGCATCAGCATCAGAATTTTCAACAACATCAATATCCACTCAATCAGCCTATGTATCAAAAAATTCCCAATTATGTTAAAAGCTAGAATGATAATTCTTTTTTCTTTCTTTTTTTCTTTCTACTTTACTCTATTATTTTCTCTCTTTATCTAAACTTTGCTTTAACGCATGACCTCTTTTTATCTCACCACCAAAAAAAACAAAAATTATTAAAAGATTATTTACAAATCTTGCTTTTTATAAAAACAAAACACCTAAATGCACTCTCTAACTAAATCAATACCTAAAAACCATAAATCAACTACTAAGTTAGTGTAGTTAATCAGATTAAAATTATCTTATGGCAATAACAGCAGGTGGCGTGCTTCTTTATATACATAGATAGTCAGTGTAGCTATGGGTAAGAGTAGTTCCATAGAATGCAATTCTCTCTCTCTCTCTCTCCTTCTAGGATCATTGATGTCGTTGATTCAGTAATAATGAACAAAAAAACGCATGTGGCAATATACGCTTTTAATTCATCTTAATTTTTTTGAGTATCAGGTTTTTTATATAATTTCTTCTGTTTGTAAACGCTGTAGAACTGACTGACAACCATAAACTGATTTCTTTAAATTTGATGTATATATTTACATACATATATATATATAAATATAATATCTCACTGCTTTGTCTGCTCTATTCTCTTCTTTACCGTGCAGGTGTAGCTACTAGATCAACATCAAACAATGCTACAGGAAACATCACATCAGGAGCTGCAGCCTCTTCTATTTCCGCCCGTTATCAACCTTACACAATTCAACCACCTCGTTTAAATCGAACTTAAATTTCTTTATTATTGACTTCTATCTTCTTAATAACTTAACATTAAAAAGTAACACCAAACAACACAACAACAACAAAGGTTAGTTTTTCTCTTCTTTTTGTCTAACAAATAAAAGAGATCAACTGATAAAATGTAACGTTCATTTTTTGTTTTTCTTGCATGAAATATTTCATTTCTTCTTTCTTAACATTTCATCTTTATACTTGTCAACAAAGCACGCGACTTATTATCATTATTATTACTACTACTACTCAGTTTTTTTGCTTGCTTGATTGATAACAAAACAAAATATTCCATAGATCTGTGATTCTTTGTTTTTCTTTCTTCATTTCACTGATTATACGATCTTGTTCAAGTTTTTTTTTCTTGTGATAAAAGTGAAATGGTCATTATTATTGACGACTTTTTCCAATGTATTATATGAAAAAACTTTTTTTTTTTTGTCAAATTTTTTTGTTCTGTTTTTCAATCGTATATGCTTTCTCCAGTGTTTCGTTACATTTTTTTTTTCTATACGAGTGTTTTTTTTTGTTATTGCCTAAGATCAAAATTTATGCTTTTATGCATATCGAACATTATATAAAAAAAAAAGAAATAAGAACTTTAGATTGAATATTTCTTCATTGGTAAGATTAGAATATGATTTGGGACAAGAACTATTAACAATGACTTCGACATGATTTTGTTCGATAAATTTCTGTCATATAAAAAAGACAGTCATTTCCTTTTCATTCATTTTTGTGCATGTCTTTTGTTTTTTAAATATGTCAACGTTAAAAATCAAAAGAATGAATGAACTGTAAAAAAATAGAAGTAACAAAAGATTTTAATAAAAAATACGTCAAAAACAGAAATAGTATAAGTTTGACAATATTTTCATATAGGGCTTGTTTCTATAGGCTATATATACTCATGAATATGCATCTACGCAAATAAATGTAATGGATAAAAAATAGTAATTAACACTACCTTTGGTATGTGCATTAGACGTTCTACTGTCATTTTTATATTTAACAAGTCGAAGCAAAATAATTGAAGAAAAACCAAGAAGTATGTTTTATGTTTTTATAAACTATCTATTTAATTAATTTTTCTTATAATATTTGCATGAGAATCGTTACATGATTAATTATAAAAATTGATCGATTTAGGAATGAAACAAGTGATAAAATCTCTAGAGTATATCATGTAATTAATAGAAGAAACAAAAATCTTCTATCAAAAATAATAATCTACCACGTGTTAGTATAATAGTATTTTTTTCTAATTGATAAATTTTTATTTAACTGAAAAATATATTTTCTTTTCGATAGAATATTAATAGAAAACCTCAATTTATCGTTATTAAATTAACCCAACTATATTTTTCTATTTATCGCTTTATATTTGTTCGTGTTAACGTCTATTACTACAGTATTACTATTTATAAATCGATAGAAAACCGGAAGAAAAAGAATGAATGAAAAAGAAACAATACAAAAACATAAGAACTTTCATAACCTTTTTTTTTCTTCCTCTGAATTGATTTTATATATTATAAGAATAAGAACTATTAATTTGTATGAATACTATTATAGTAAAATCTTTGCAAAAAAATAAATACATTATAAATTTTTAATCAAAATAAAATCTACATGAGACGTTCTTAATCTTTATAAGATATAATAGAAAGATTTTCTGTTAATACAGCTTTAGAATTAGAAAAAAGAAAAAAAGGCTAAATATTTATGACAAAACAGAAAAAAAAAGATCTGACACTATTCCATTATAATATTTCTTGTTTGGCATTTTCATTCATCTTATGATTATTAAGTTAAAATTCACATATAAGGTTTTCTTGTCGCTCAATGATGATAGATGAACGTTCGACGAAATGGCAACGGTTGATAGATGGCTTGCTAGCCTATTAGCTATGAAAAAAAAATGGGGGGGAATAAGGAGAAGCATAAGCAACGTAAATGAGGAAAAAGGAAAAAAAAAAGAAAGACCAAAAGCTACTTAGTAGCTCTAGGGAATGAAGAAAAAGATGTTTCTCTTTTGCCTGCCTGTTTTCTATACTCATTTTCCTATCTCTTTTTTTTATCTTGCGCACATAAACATCATCACTATCACTATTGCTCTACCAAGGTTTTATTCTGATTCACGTCTACTCACTTCTTAGTATTTCTTTTTCTTTTTTTTTATTCGTTTCTTTTATCATTCATTTATTTGTGATAGATTGACGGTTAGATACGACTACGCAAAACAATCTTAAGTATGTATAGGTAATGGTTAAACAAAATTATACACATTATTTATGTTCGTTTCATATTAACTACATAAGTAAATTTCTATCAAACAATCTTTTGCAATGAGTAATAGTCTAGCAAAAAAATTTGATAAAATTGTATCAAAATTGAGTAACAAACATAAAGATACGAAATCCAATGCCAATGAAACAAATGACGATCATCAAAATGTCGATGAAACATTAACTGATGGAAATAATGAACCACAACATGAATCGATTTTGCAACGTATGAAAGGACATATTACTCATACACATGGATCAGTTAAAAACGAACAGCATCAACAACAACAACAAACAGAAGGTGCACCTCCCATTCAAGTTATTATAGACAATCTTAAAGATTCACCATTTAAAGGTAAGTGTTTTACAATGATTTTCCTTTTTTTTACTATAAAAATGATTGATACATGACAATGTCACTTGCTGTTTTTGTTATTTGTATATATATATGACATATTGATGATGATGAATAGATGACTACTTGTAACTCGATGCACATATCGATTTATGGGTGCCGTGTTTCAATTCAGACTATTTTTTGTCTTTTTCTGCATATTCTCCTCTTTTCATATACATATATCTCATCACGTATATGCCGTCGAAATGTCTTTTTATTTAACGAAATCTGATGAATAATCAAAAATTCCGTTAATGGCTAAGAATAGAAAAAAAACTACATAAAAAAAAATATGCATACCAACACATAATAAACAGAATATATTTGATAAAGATCGTTGATAGATAATATTTTGTGGTTCGCAGTTAAGTATACAATGGCAAATAACTATCGTTTTCGTACTTATCAATCAATCAATCGTCAACTTGATGAACGCTATCAACGTTTGCTCAAACTAGACCGAACTCCCTGTAAGTGAATGAACACACACACATATATATATATATAGATATATACGTATGTATGTGCGTCAGTTTATGCGCAGCGGCATACAGGAAGTTAGTCACTTAGTGTGTGTTAAGTACCATTGACTCATTTTCTATATTCTTTTGTCTATCTTATGTTAGTCTGCATAAAACATACATCAAAAAAGGAAAACAATACTTATTGTTTAGTCTATTATAAACTTGAATATTTAGAACTTAGATACAAAAAGACAACGAGATTGATGAATTCTAGTTATGTTTTTTTTTCCGTTAAAAATGCATTTTTTTTTCTCTTTTTTTTTGTGTATAACATGAGTATGAAAAAAATGACTAACAATAGAATAAAGAAGGCATTCAAGTAATGATGATGTACACGATATAATTAAAAAAAAAAGTCATCGTATAAAAGAGAATAGAGAAAAGAGAAGGAAATTCGTTATTTCCATTTTTTTTTCTTGTATTAAAGATTGTCAATATATATATAAAGTCATATATGTAAACAAAGATACTTGTATGTATTTATACATTCTAATTTTATTCGAAACAAAAAAAAAATAATTTCAATTATTTGATTTGCACTCTTATCGATCATCTGATTCGAAATATAAGAAGAAGAATAAGTACAAATTTTTCGATATACTTAAATTTCATTAACGAGACTCATTTGCCGATATATATTTTTTTACGCAACGTGATTTTCTCGTTCTATTATCATTATTTTTATCATAATAAGTAATAGTTTAGATCTTCTCGACGAAAGATTCTTTCTTTTTTTGTGTTAGACAAAAAAACATAAGAACAACAAAGAACTCTAACCACACTATTTTTCTTTTTCTTTCGTTCATTCGTTCATTCATTCCATATTTCTTATATATTGTTCAATTAAATTGGGAAAAAAACGCATATGCGTGCATGAGTTTTTCTATTAGGACTGAGTGATGTGTAGCCGTTGTAGTAGGACTACTTTATCGAGTAACTCGAGAGAGATGATGTAGGAAACACAAACTATAGTTCTTGCTATTACTACTTTTCTTTATGTTTTCTGTGGTTGGTGATCACATTAGGAAGAAGCGTAGTAAGTCTTTAACGAGAAATGCATATATACTGTCGCTTTGAGCAATGTGTGACAGGCGAGATAGTCAGGCAAAAAATTTTCTTCGTCTGCTTAACAGTTTTCTTCCATCGTTGCATCTCAAGAGGCAAAAATAGAAAAAGAATGAAAAGGATTGATTTTTAAGATTATTATCTGTTTAAACATATTGGTTTCTTATGAGTTCTCTATTCGTTTATTATACATAGATACATATATTTATTTATTTATTAGAAAAACAAATTTTATATATTTAATATTTAACAATAGCTTCTATTTTGGCAGGAAATAGTTTCCTAAAGAAAATAAAAATCTAAATACATCTAACATTTAGTTTTTTTTTATTTTCTTTTGATTAATGAATATACAAGAATAGAAAAAAGAGAGAAAAAAAACACTGACTCGTTTATTTTTATTTAACTCTTACGCTTGCATTTCAAAGCCTATCTAATGATGTTCATTTTTTTCTCTCTCTTTATTTATTCTAACTGAAATCTTGTTTAGTAAAGCGTAATAATAACTGATCTTTAGGAGAGAAAAAAAATTTATGAGAAAAGTTGTTTTTGAGTCACAAGAGTTGACTTATGAATGGGATCATCTTCTTAGATAATTCTATTTATTTACTAATATTAATTTCGTAATGTCAAGATAGCTGACCCATATTTGATGTTTTTTTACATAAATTGGATATTTAGTACTTTTCTAAATGGAAAAAAATAAGTCGATGGGTTTTTGTAAATACCATCAACCATTTTAGATAGAAAAAAAGAAAAACAGTTAGAAGAATTTATAATAGACTGTCTTACATTCATTGAGTATAGAAACATCAAAAACACAAGTATACATTTATTAATAGAATTTCATCAAAAAATTTACATATAAATTTTGCAATACGATTGATTACGTCATAGCGTCAAAATAAAAATATATTTTCTACCTGTGATTTATATTCACCTATCGAAAAATATAGTTAGTAATTTTCTTTTTTTTTCTTCTTACATCTAGATAAAATATGATGTATGTTTTTACATTATAATATAATATTTTCTTTTCATAGTTCTCCTTACGCATGCGCCAATGGGAGGAGGTCCGTCATCAACTAGTGGATCATCATCAACAACATCAGGTGTTATACCAAGTGAATGTTATAAACAAGCACGCGAAGAATTCGATAGTCGATATGCATCACCAGCAACATTTCAATTAGCCTATAAAGATTTTCAAATAAGTCGACCACTTGGACGTGGTGCATTTGGTTCTGTTAAAGAAGTTAAATGTATACGTGATCCATTACCTGATTATCTTCAAATAACAAACCCTAATGATTCAACAATAAAATCTTATCGTGTAGCATTAAAAATTATTAATAAGAAAAGTGCACATAAAATGAAACAAGAAGAACATGTTGTTAATGAAAAACGCATATTACAAGCATTAAATTTTCCATTTATAATAAGATTTTATTTCTCTTTTAAAGACAATGCTAATCTTTATATTGGTCTGGAATTAATTGAAGGTGGAGAATTATTTCGACATTTACGTGATTGTGAACGATTTGATGAGAAAAAAGCCAAATTTTATTCATCTCAAATTATTCTCGCACTTGAATACCTACATTTATTGGGTATTGTTTATCGTGATCTCAAAGTACATTTTTTATTTATGCAAATTTTATATACATATCTTTTTTTCTTCTTGTTTTAGCCCGAAAATTTGCTCATCGATCGTTATGGTTATATAAAAATGTGTGATTTTGGTAAGATGATAAATTAGTTTTTTGTATATTTAAATATAAGAAATATTTCAAAAAGGTTTTGCAAAGAAAATTGATCGAGGTAAAGCATATACCCTATGTGGTACACCTGAATTTCTTGCACCGGAAATCATTCTTGGTCGAGGTTACAATATGGGAGTTGACTATTGGGCCTTAGGTGTATTAATATTTGAAATGAATGCTGGTTATTCTCCATTTTGGGTAAAAATATTTTTAATTTAATTAAATTTTTAATGTGATTTAACGTTGTTTTTGTTTTGAAGGATGCAGATCAACAAAAAATTTACCATAAAATAATTAGTGCAAAATTTCGACCTCGTTCATTTTTTACGGATAGTTTAATTGAAATTATAAAAGGTTTATTACAAAAAGATTTAACAAAACGACTTGGTTTAATGTTTAATGGTATAAACGATATAAAGAAACATGCTTGGTTTCGTGATATTGATTGGCTACATATATTTTTGAAAAAAGTTCGTGCACCATGGGTACCAGATATCCGTACAAATAATTTTCCCGATGCTGAAGATGAAGAACCAGCTCGTTCATCAGTTAATTTATATGAAAAAGAATTTCATGAATTTTAAAAAAGAAATTAATTCCTCATATTTATTTTTTGTGTTTTTCTCGCTCGTTTTTCTTTTCTTTTTTTTTTTTGTCTATTTATGTGTGTGTGTGTATGTGTGTATGTCTAAATTGCAATGTCTTTCTTTTTATTTTTGTCTCTCAAATATTTACTTTCTTTAATCAACCAAAGAAGACTATTCGGCGCCAGTTGCTGAATATAAGAAAGATCTTTCTCTTTGTTTCTTTTATTAATTAATGATGATTGGTTTTGACATGAACTCATCGAAACAAACAAATTCAATTAAACAAGAGATGATTTCGTAGGTGAAAATGAAAATGATTCAAAGAAGATTAATGACGAAAGTTTTTTTTTCTGACATATCTTTAATCTATGTGAAGAGTAATTACTGTCATAGTAATGAATGACACATGTTTCATATTTTACTTAGATTATCAAAAGATTTAATTATTAATAGAAGGTCTCGATAATTTCAAATATGAATTAGATTCTATGTAAGACACAATCAAAACTATATTATCCAGTTGTCAGTAAGTTATTATTGACGTTAAAATTGACTATCGATAAGAGATAAAATCGAAGTCCCTCTACTATTATGAGTAATCGATATGTATTTTTCTTATTCCCAAATGAAAACAAAAAGGTCTGATACAACTTATCTTGTCTGTTTCAATCAAAGGTTAATTATTAGGCAGATTAGATTTCATAAATATCGGTCATATATTTATTAACGAAAACAAAATCCACAATATTCTCATTTCATAATGATTTTAGTAAATCATCAAGCATCTATTCCAATGATCATTATGATTCATTATCATCAAGTATTGATAATATAACAATTGCATCGCGAACACAATTAACATATTTATTTTCATTGGATTTAATTCAATCTTCTGCTAATTTTATTTATCCAAATGTTCGAATAATATCATCGGGTTATTTTTCTAATCAAACGAATAAAAATTCCATTTATATCTTTTCAAATACATTATCATCTAAGAAAAATGTCCCATTAATTTTTCTTGGTAAAAAATTTTTTTTTCTCATAAAAAACAAAGTTTCATATTGAAAATAGGAAGTGAATATTTCTTACGTAAAACAATTAATTTTGATCATATAAAATTTCCGCTGTCAACAAATGAATATCTTGAACCATTAGTTGATTTATTTCTCAATCGTTCACAATTTATTCAAGAAATTCCTCAATTAGATAATCTATCCGATTATCTTTATTTACCACAATCAATATCTGCTTTAGTATTTTTTGATTCATTATTAACTCCATCACTTCGTCATCAATGTTATGAATTACGTACAAAAGAAAATAAAAATAAATTTACTATAAAAGATTTATTCGTCATGTCACAACGTGAAAATAATATTATTCAAATAAATGCATTAAATGATAAACGTTATCATGCATTTAAAGATCAATTAACTGATATCTATTATTCAAATAAAATAACAAAAATAAATTCACATACTTTCATATAGAAACTATTCGTTTGTCTATCTTAAATAAGATATTTAAGAATATTTTTTGTGTGATAAAATGGCATATGTTTTTCTTATCTTAATAATCCGCTTGTATTTAGTACTTTGCAAAGCGAGTAAATGTTGATTTATTTCTGTTTCTTTTCTGTACATATAAATGTCAATTATTGAAGTTGAATTTATTATTTTCATAAAAATGATCATGTCAAATGCGTACTATTCGGGTAAATAACCAATTATAAAAACGAAGACAGTTTTTGGTAGTTATTTGAATAGATTATGATAATAAGAGTTTAATGATGTCATATAAAAATAAATACGGAGATTATTAATGATAAAATTCATCCACTCGAAAAACTCTATTTCGATGCAATGAATTTCGTTAGCGATTATAAAAGGAATAGTAAATATAACTTCAATTTAATACTAGTCTTCTACTAATTTAATTTTCCTATAATTTCTAAATCTTTGTTTATGATTCAATATGTATCAAAAATTTGAATAATAACATTCCAAACTGCAATTTTTTACATTTTATATGATATTTTTCTTTTCAGCGTGTCCTATACAATTACTCGTCTTCTAAAAATTTCACCTAATAATAAATTGCATCTATTAATAAACAGACTTTCTGACATACTTATAACTTTTAACTTATGGTATCTGGACAATTCCTTTTCTGAGATCTTTTTTTGCGGGATCAAATTCATTAAATCGCTTACAAACTATTGACAATTATTAATCATCAAACTTTAGCTCAAGATAAAAACAAGCCTATGAAATTCTTTCGTAGTATTTCGTTGATATTTCTGATAAGCTTCTCTTTACACACTACAGATAAAGTTTGCTTTATATTTATTTTTTGTTCTTGCTGTCCTATTATCATATGAAAGAATAAGATGGGTGTATCAAGTGAGACTGACTATTTCGTATTCTTTTTTATAGAATACAATAATTATTTTTGTTTTAGTAAAAAAGGTTTTCTCGGCTTTCATTTTCGATACATTTTACACTTACTCAACAGTTAAAGTTGTTCAAGTACCAAATACATTCGTTGCTCTTCTTTATCGTTTACTTCAATTAATTATATTTGCTTATATAGCACTGTAAATAATTGATTTATATGATTCAAATTTCGAACTCTATTTAATATTTAGTTATATCGTTTGGTATAAACAAGGTTATCAACAATTTCAAGAACCACGTGGAACAAGTATAATAAAAGTCAAAGGAATTGCGAAAGTAACAGGCAATTCTACAATATCCAACGTTGGTAAGTTAATAGAAAATAAGATTTTTATAGAAAAAAAATATGTTTTTGATGTTTAAGGTACTGATTCATCACATTTATGGGATACAGCTGAATATCAGCTTCCTCCACTTGTATGTTAAATGAATTTTCAGTTCATGTCTACAATAGTTTTCTCTTCAGGAAAACAATGCATTTTTTATTGCTACACGACAAACAGTTACTTATAATCAAGTAGAAGGAAATTGTCCAAGTGTGAGTAAAAGAAAAGATTTTTGTTATAAGAAATTTTAATTTTTCTACATAGGCACTAGAAGATAAATTAATTTGTAATACAACATCAACAAATGACACATGTCCACAAGATCAGCCAACACCAAATACATTTGGTAAATAAATTTTATCTATCATATTGATAATATGAATAATATAATTCAGGTTATTTTACTGGAAAGTGCGTAGATAGTGTACAGAATGAGTCTGTATCTGTTTGTGAAATACATGCTTGGTGTCCTGAAGAACTTTCAAAATCAACGTAAGATGAAGATTTTAATTAATAAAACTACGTAATTACTTTATTTCAGTGAATACATAATGAATAGTGATGATGTAGCAAATTTTACTGTTTATTTAAAAACAGTGGTAACATTTACATTGTTTAATATTACTTTGTAAGTTATGACTGCTATACTGTTCAGTAGAATATTTATATTTATGTTTTCTTCGTAGGAGAAATGTTCGTGATGATACCAATTTCTCATGCCGATATGATAAAGATAACGATCCTCGATGTCCTATTATACGTATTGGTGATATTCTTACTAATCTTAAGACAAATAAAACAGCTCTTTTACTTGAAGTAAATATTATTTCTAAAATGAAGAATTAGCTAAAAAGCATCGAGAATTTAGGGAGGTTTAATTGAAATTCGTCAAGATTGGACATGTAATTTTGATTTTCATCAAAGTCGTTGTTATCCAACACTTGAATTTAGTATATTACAAAGTGGTGATGATAAAAATTCACCCGGTGTTAATTATCGGTAAAATTCATCGATAACTAAACACATTATTTCATATATTTATTAGATCTGGACAAAAATATCATCAAAATGGTACAGATTATCGAATCCTATCAAAAATCTATGGACTACGTTTTGTTATTGCTATATCAGGAAACGGTGGACAATTTAATATAGTTAATTTATTTGTTGCTATTGGTATTCTAACTAAATCTTAATATTCCTAAACTAATTTTTACTTTTGAAATATTATTATTTAAGGTTCTGGTATTGGATTTATGGTGATTGCAGATATTGTATGTGATGCAATATTTACGTATATTCATAAATATCGACAACGATATCGTCAAGGAAAATTTAGTACAGTTGAAATAAGTTCAAGTCGATTGCATTCAGAAGAAAATTTAGTACGTTAGTAGGTTTGTAAAGTATTCAAGATAATAATCATTAAGAATGTTTTTTTCAGAAATCGGAAAAGTCCATTCAAGAACCAAATAGTACTTTCATTTATCAAGATCGCTTTTAAAAAATATATTTTCTATTTTTCTATAATGATTGTTATATGAATATTTAAAAATGACGTTTTCGAATGTTTTTTTTTCTTAAATAATACATATATTTGTTTTATCTACATTTCGATTTCAATCTTTTTTTTTCGAAATAAAAATTGTAATATACAAAATCATTGAAAAACAAAAAAATAGAATAGTTTTACTATCGTCGATTAATTAAACGTAAAGAAGATGGATCAAAGATATTTTGATTATTTTTTAATAATGTATTATCAGTTGATAAACGAGTTATAGCTGTACGTAAAACATCTTCATTTATAATTAAGAAAGATGTTGATTCAAGATTATTATTATTATTATTATTATCAAGTTGATTTTGTTGACGACGACGTTGATTACGTATTTCATGTGGTTTTAAAGTTATTTCATTTGTCGACTTGCCACTATGTGCTAAACCAAGATCAATTAAAGTTTGAATCACATCTTCAAGACATATTCCAGTATCCATACTAAACAAATAAATTAATTATTCATTTACGAAGCTATATTTTTATTGTGTATCTCAACGTCTTAGAATGACTAAGGTAAAAATTTCGTTGATTATATCTTTGAACTTATAAGAAGTATTTGAGTCTTAAAATTACTGCCCATTTCAAAAAAAAAGGCGGGTGGGTATTTTTTGATAGGAACAAGATAGAGAGCAGCGGTTTTCACCGTTAGAAAGAGCAGATGAAGATGCATCAAAACCTATACGAGAAGTCTTCTCTAACTACTTCTCAAAGGCTGTTATAGGAAACTGTTGGACAAACAGTATACCTCGCATTAATACCACACCAGTTCGTTCATTTTCAGGAGTGTTCTCGAATCGCCAGATCAAGAACTACAAAACTGTGTGAAGGTTTTACTCATGACTACTACTAATTCAATCTTTCACTGATAAAAAATCGTATTTTTTCACGTGTGACAAAAAAAGTAGTTTTTTCAAAACATCTAACTAATAGTCTTTGGGAAGTAGGTAGAGATAACTTCGCATATAGGTTTTGATGCATCTTCATCAGCTCTTTCTAATGGTGAAAACCGCAGCTCCATATCTTGTTCCTATTGAAAAATACCCACCCGCCTTTTTTTTCAAAAGGACAGTAGTTTACTACTAGATAAAGAAAAGATATAAACCTAAGTTGTGCTATTGTAATATTTATTTGTAGACGACGATATTCTTCAAGTTTTGATAGGATAGTAGAATGCCAATAACTTTTGTATGTCATCTGACCGAGAGCTGATAGAGGTTTTTCTGGTGAACCTGTTTTCTTTTCTAATTTTGTTAATTCATAACCTAGAAAATAATCATTAAAGAATTCTTTCTTATAAATATAAAAATTCTTACTTAAGGCAATTAAAAATCGACCAAAACCTTGCCGTTGACGATGTGGTAATACCTATCGACACATTAAAATCAATTAGAAAATAAAATTTGATTGTGCTCTACCATTAAACATGCTAAATTATAAAATTCATCACTAAATTTCTCCTAAAGAAAAAAGAGAATCAAGAAAATATTTTTAATAAAAAAAAATATCTTAAATTACTTTTGAAAAATACCCAATAATATGTTGCATATTTTTTGTTCGTTTATCTGATTCAACAAGAACATAAAAAAGAAATGGACTAACATCAAAATAAATCGTTTTTCGTTCAAGAAATAATTTCGCCAATAAACAAAGACATTGACAATAAAGCTAAAATTAGATTTTTATAAAAACTTTCACATCGTCTTTTATTAAAATATATACTTGTGATGAACTTCCATCAACTTCATATACTGATAAACCATCGGGATGTTCATAGATTTTTCGGCCAGGTGGGCAACGTCGATTACATTCGTTCTAGAATTAAAATCGAATTCGATAAAAAAGCTAAATTTTCTTTTTTTTTCTCTACCATATGTTGTCGATATTTTCGATTATTAAGAAAATAACGTAAACAATGTTCGCAAATATATAATTTTTCAATTGTACGATCTTTTTCACTTGAACCATCTTCAGCATCAATATATGGTGAATGAAACCAACAATCAATATCAACTTGTCCTAATCGAATTGATGTTATATGTTTTGTATTATCGGGAATCTACGAAAAATTTTCAAAATATTATATTTCTAATCAAGATAAAAATCTTACATCAAGTTGTTCATCATCACTCATGGAATCATCATCAGCCATAAGTGAACTAATCTAAAATATTTTCTACACCCTGATATAATTTATATAAATAATGTATTATTGTAATCAAAAATCGATTTACAATAATATTCTCTAAAATAGCACCCTGTTATATATTTTTATAACATGAAAAAAACAAGGTTTTTTTTGCGTTTATCACAAAAAAAATCGTATATATGAGATTGCACAAAATGAGAAAAAATTTAAAATTCAACTTTGCTTGTTTTTGTATTTTGCTGTTGAATATCTAATGTTGGCGGTGGGGAATATTTCATTCGTTTTGCTGCACGATAAGCTGGATGTTCTTTAACATATTTAACCATTTTACGTACAATACGAGTAAATTCATATTTATCAAATGCATAATTTGTAAATTTTTTATGTGGTGTTCCTAATGTTGGATGTTTTCCTTCATCTTGTGGATAAGCTTTACCTTCATTTTCCCATGTAAAATATTTAACACCACGAAGACGAGCTAAATCATTATAACAATCTTTATCTTCACAATTATGAATTTCAAAAATGGTTGCCCAATCAGGTAAGAAAAGTAAATGAGTCAAACCAGCACCATGCATTCCTGCAAAAGAAATGGTAATAGTCATATATTTTTCAATTTGAGCAAACAATCACATGCATACAAATCAGTTAGAAAACAAAACGAGATTATTATTAACTGTTATAACTTGATGAATGACAGTATTTCATTCTTTCGATGTGATGTGATCTATGAGTAAGTCTTATTATAGACAAAATTGAATATTTCTATCCTGCGTTGGTTACTTAGCGCAAGAAATAAAGTCCATCATCCATTATGAAAAAACACTATTCCTATTGCTTCGAACGTGTTAATCGTTACATAATAACTCCGGAATAATTTAATACATATATTATTCATATTTTTAGCATAAGCAATTCATGCAAAAGCATATATTTACTGGAAATTCAAATTAACTTTCGTTAAAATATTTAATCAATAAAGCATAAAGACTTATATACTGCCTATTATGAAAATATAAGAATATATCATTATATATTCTTATTTGAGAAACTTACCCATAAAAATATCTGTATTATGCGTTATATTCAATTGTTGAATAAATGGCATATGAGCATTATAATCTACTACATTTATACTATAATCGTTATTTCCATTTGTTGAGACATTTCTTAAATGTTCGACAATTTCATTAACATTCAAAATCTGTCGAAATTGTGTTGTACGATTTAATAATGTGATTCGTACTTGATTAGATTTTAATGGACCTAATTGTGGTATATGAAGACGATGAATAATATATTGTTGAAATGAACGAAATAAACTTGTTTGTGAACATCCTGGTATCAATGGCATATTATAATAAAAACCTTTGGTTTAAATTAAATAAAAGATAAAATTTATTTTATTTTATTTTTCTCTTACCGTAAAACATTCGAGCAAGAAATGAAAAAATAACATTTTCGAAACATACACGTTTCCCTTCAAATTCTTTAATATGTATAAGACGATTTGATGTAAATGCATTCCATGTTGGAGAAAAAAAACTCCAATAATCATTGTTACTTGTATCCCAGAAAATAATTTGTATATCTTTTGTAAATGTATTATTCATATGTTGAGATATATATAAATTAATAAAATCACAAAAATGATGATACATATTATATCCACTATCAAGTTTGATCATAATTGTTGGTTTTGTTATAGTTAAATCACAAGAAAATGAATCGGTTTCATTAATTTCTTTAAAAACTTGTAATTCAGAAAACCAGCTTTGTAATGGACTTTTATGATCACCATTTTTTCGTAAATCCTCATGATTTAATTTACAATAACCACCAATATCACCAGGTTTAAGTATATCTTCTCGATAACGATCATGATGTTTCGATGTTTGAGTATGTCGAAAATCAATAAAAATATTTTTTGCTCGACAAAAACGTAAATGATCAACACATTCAAGAGATGATGATGGTGATGGTGAACAAAATTCTCTTAATTCATTCCGTTTTTCTGATATATAACCAAAATCTGCTGTTCTCCAAAATTCATATATTTGTTTTTCTTTCGATGTTGTCCAACCACGACTATCATCAGGACATTGAATAAGTGATGCATTATTTTTACAATTATTTTCATAACCCCAACATGCTATATCAGATGATGGAAGATTTTTTGCTTGTTCATAATAAGGACATTGATCTTTATCATGAAGACATTGAATATGTATGGAAGGATTATTTGTGAAGAAATAAATCGAATGTTCAACTGGAATATCAAGATCAGACCAATTATAACTATGACCGGACGTGAATAAAATAAATGTTAAAAAAATGATGATTAACATCTACAAGGATAAGAGGAAAAGGTGAAGGATGTTTAGGAAGTTTTATTTAAGTAAATGAAAAGAAAAAGATGAAAAAATGTTTATTTTGATTTTCGTCGTAATTCACGATCGTAGAAAAGATAACGTTCAGGTTGATTGCTAGCTTTAAATTCTAGTTTGTCGACATGCCATCTAAATAGTAACAAAAAACAATCGATTATGGTGAAATAATCTTATACTGAATAACATAAAAAAAAACTATTAATCGATTTTTAATAGAGAAAATATATTTTTTTGTGATGAGAAAAATATTTGCTTTGTATTTATCAAAGAATATATCGTATGACAATATTTTTTTACGACTTATAATTTCAAATTAAAAGACTTACTCATCATCAGGTGAATTTCTTGTAGCATAACAATAAATGACGCCAGCTCGTTCAGCACCTCGAACAGGTATTTCAACCTAAATGATATTAGTTTCTACATATCAAAGTAAGAAAAAAACTAAATTTGGTTCTTTTCATCTAAGTTGTTTTTATTTAACACAAAACAAAAAACAAAAAGAGTAAATCACGCGTTGGTATTATTCGATGATGGTTGTCGTCGATGTTTCAAACGTTCTTTACTCTTTGTTGGTACTGATTCATATTCGATTTCCATTCGACGTTTCTTGGATGGTGGAAGTGCTTTAATTAGTTCTTCATCAACATCATCATCACCCATATCTTCCATATCTTCAGCATCACTTTCATCGAAATCTTCCACATATTCAACTTCTTCTTCACTCTCTTGTTCATTTTCACCTTCTTCTTCTTCTTCCTTTTCATCTTCACTTTCACTTTCATCATCTTCTTCATCCACTATAATAGAAAATAATTTATTTCCAATAGAATATTTAGAAAAAAAATCTCTTACATGAAATTGCATTAACTGGAAATGTATATGTGTCTCCATAAGTTCCTTTTTTCAATCGATCAAGTAGTTCATTTTCAATAGCACGATCAATATTAGCTGCAACAAATGCTTTTTCTTCATGGCGAGTTTCACGTCTTTCAGCTTTCTTTTTGATTGGTACTAATTCTTGTTTAGCAGTTTTCTTTAACATTAAGCGACGTGTTCGTATAATGTATTGTGTTAGTTTAGTTAAACGTTGTTTACATTTATGTCTCACGAAACGTGGCCAATAGATTAAATGTTCATTGATTTGTTTCAATGCACGAATATAACTTTCGTGCAATTTGACTTTTTCCCATTGTTTTTTTGGATAATGTGAACGTTCAACAACTTTCATGTAAAGATATAAAATACCTTTTTCTTCTCGAACAGTTGCATATTGAGAATTAGCCAATGGACATGAACGACGATCACATAAACCAGTTAAATTATATTCATTTGCACAGAATATTTGTGTTTTACTTTTTTGTTGTTTATATGAACAAAATTGTCCATTAAGAACAGACCAGATAACATCATCATGTTGCATTTTTTTATAGAGATTTTAGATATTTTATCTAGAATGAATAAAATGACTCGATTCTCTAAACTTTAAATTTGAGCCTTAATAATTTATATATTTACTTGATGATAATAATAGACAAAAAGAAGAAGAAAAAATATTGAAAATGATAGACTTACTTGTGCACCGAGCGGTGAAAGAATATTGAATTTACTAGTTGTATCAACTTGAAGTGGTTGAATTGGTTCAACAAGTTTTTCTGTTATTGGTTTATAACCTTGTGTTAATTCTAATGCTTCCTTGTAAAAAGATTGTTCAAGGAAAGTATCTAAAGATTTTAAATTAAAATAACGAAAATTCGTATGAAATATAAAATATAAACTTCGAGCTTTTTGTCGTGCACGAATTTGTGCGTAATAGACAGCACTGGAACCAGCAAGACCAATAACCGATGCAATAAGTACCAATGGATGACCCCAACGAGATCGGTTCATTTTTGGTATTGAAATTTTTTCATTGGAAGACATTTCGAAATAATTAATCGCTATGTTTTAATAGTTGAAAACTCCTGAAGATGCTTGTTTTAATCGCAATTATTATTCGAATAAATGAGACTATAGCGCTACACTTAACAAATAGTTTTGATTGAAAAGAAGAACTCTTAATTTCCACGAATCACATACACGACGTTTTATTTTCGATAATTATTAGCGTCATCTATCGGATCATAAAATAAGAAATAAATTACATTTAGGTAAAATCGTCAAGTATATCGATCTTGCATGTAAATCAGCGACATATTATATTGTGTCGGTAAAAAAATGACACACATATGTTTTGCTATAGTTATGATAATTAAAGTCAAATTATATACCCATAAATAGAATATTAACATTTATAAAAAAATAACCTTGTCCGACCTATTTTACCGCAAACGAAGATAGAAAAAAAGAAAGAAGTCGTCTGATACGTATTTTAAGGCTATGGATTTCTAAATAATAATATAGATGAATGAAACATGTAACATCCATATGCATCCGCATGATAATCTTTTCTTTCCATCTCTTATGTTTCTAGGTATGTAGTCGTAGTGAACAATTAATAATGACTTTGTAATAATAGATATTGAATAATATCGTATTAAGATTATGGATGCAGTTTCGAAAGAATCTCAGCAATCATCAATGAATGTCGATAATATTATTTCAATACTTATTATATATTGATTAAAATGAGTGTGTTTTCGTATTCCAAGCAGTATATATCTCTTTTTTTTACACAAGCAATACATATTGATTTTTTTTTGTTTTTATTATTAAAATTGTATGGGGTGACAAAAAAATCAAAGATTACAGTGTACTGTATTGATTAATAAAAAAAAAATTTCAGCTTTGGTTGTATTGTATAAGTCGACAGAAAAAAGAACTAGTGTCTCACTATGCTTGTATAAATTAAGAAAAAAAAGGATTAGGCTCCACTACATTATATGAGTTCATGAAGGCGATTCAGATCTCATTAGACAATAATCTTGTATGATCTTGAACGAAATGATTTTGTACGCCATGTAGTAGTTGTTGTTGTTGTTACAGTAGTTCGTGGGCTTGAATCAACACTGACAACTGGTATTGGATCATCGCAGTCGCAGTATGAAAAACGTGATGGAAATTCTCGAACATATGTTATTGGAGTATCGTCGAATAGATCACGGTAAACGATACGGCTTGAGCTTAAGTTTGAATTAATAACAATAGGCATTTTAATAATAGTTCTTTAATATAGACGAATACAGATGTACAATGAAAACTGATTTGATGAATTACGAGAAAAAGTATGCATATATATATAGGCGCAGAGAATAAGAAAATTGTCTTCGATAGACAAAAAATATCTAATTATTGCCCAACTATGACAATACCTGACAATTAGAGATGATAAGAGAAATGTATGGAAAAAAGCACCGCCCTTGTTCCTTCCATAAAAGACGTTAAATATAAATTAATTATTTCTTTACCACACGCGGTCAAAAGTATGAAATTAACGCCTATTAAAAATTGTTTTTTTCCTCACTTTTTATTAATTTTTCATTGTTACAAATGTTGGAATTTTGACGTTTTAACCTACGTCATTCTCCTACATATTAACTCTGTTACAGTAATTTGAGGAAGTGAATACTAGTCTACGTAGTTATTGATTGAAAGCGTGATATTTAAAAAACAAATTAATTGTTTTTGAAAAAAGATATTGATTTTCACCTTGAAATATAGTATCAAAAGAACGTCCGTTATATTCATACAATGATATACCACAAAAAAAAATCATTGTGGGCAGTAAGAAGCATGCAGATACAGAAAAAAAGCGAACTTCATTATTGAAGTAGAAGATTTTCAAAGTGAAATGTAACGATTGCTTCTAGGTAGACAGGTAAACAAATGCAGTCACTGGCAAATGTAAACAAACTAATTTCTTAGTTACTCTGATTTTAGACGATTTCCACCAGAGGCAAGCTTTTCAAGGAAAAAATATTGTTCTAATTAAAACCACTTTTTTAGTGCACAAATACATATTTGACAGTATTCAGGTTTCACACACTTTCCAATCTTTGAACTTCTCTATCTCATATGTAGTTCAACAAGGTTTCTTAGATGTTAAGACACACAACTATCTCTACTTTATTTATTTCATGTAATAAACAAATATTTCAATGATATGATATAAATACTGATTTTTGTCTATAATATTTTCTAATAAAGCCTACAGAAAAGTTTGCAAAACAAGTTTTAAAACGATTCAACATATTTCTATAACTAGATAACCTTGCCTATCGACCAAAGCAATACATTACGTAATATTTTATGTCTGTTTAGTAAAACCAAAGCTAGATAAATATTTGTGAGTTTGTTTTTCCATTATTGCACTATAATATTAAACATGGGTTTTAGTCAGCCAAAAGTACATTACCGATTTGTGCTACACCATTGACAATTAGTCGACCAAGAAAATCACCGACCACTGCTCCAATCAAACTATGTGCAAGTCCACTAATCCAAGGTATCGCTATGGCAGTACCAAAGGTCAAATAGTTAAGATGCCCATAGTAAAAAAAATATCTTTCGGTGTAATTGTGTGAAAAAGTGACATTTTATTTATGTTATATTGAAGAGAATTTATATTATTGAAAGAAATATATAAATACATCTATACACTCACAAGAGAATAAAATAGAACATTCTAACAACGCAATTATTTCCGAAGTAAATTTTGTGTTCGTTTATTAGAAGCATCCACACGAGTAATCCCATCTTCAGTTTTCTTTGAAATAACATCAAGTTTCTTAGTTTGTTTTGTTATAGTATCACCCATATCAAGTGCTATGTTCTTCAAAGTTCCAATATAATCATCAACTAATTGTAAATTATCATCCATTTCTTCTTCACGGTCATCATTTGTAATACGAGTTACATAACGTTTTGAATGCATTCCTTCTTCACCAATCATACGTAATTTTGGTTCGATAGTTATAGGTGACGATCTCTCACTACTAACTGTTGTACTACTATTTGTAAGTGGTCGATGTGAGCGACAAACACGTTTCCATGGTAGAACACATAAGCCACAACATTTTTCTAAGTTACTTAAATTTCTTTCAGCTTTGTACATTACATAATCAATATCATCAAGGGCAATTTCAATTTTATTGAGTTTTTCATCTTGTTCATCAAGCATAATCATAGTATTAATACCGAGATCTTGACTTTCGGCAGCTAAACTAACTATACGACGTGTTGATTCTAATGATTCATTTGTTTTTTGATTAATTTGCGCTTGTATTGAGTTTAATTTATCATTGTTATCTGATGATTGCATGATTGCGTTGATTTTTTTATGTCTTACGTTGCTACCTTCTGACTCTTGGTAAGTTGTAATAGGCAATATTGAAGAGAATTCGTCACTGGCTTTTATTCTAGGATAAAATCATGAGTAATTCGAATTTAAGCCGGTGGCGAAATCTGACTCATTGCTGTTTATTTCGAAAATCATGCTTTTCTTTTCGTTTATTTTATGTCGTTATTCAATAGTAAGAAATAAAAAATAAAGCTATAGTGCATTATAAATCAATATTGATGCATACAGTTATTTATTTGCTTACTCTCCGTTGCACTGAAATCAAATACTAAGATCATTACCACAAAATTCACGAAGTGATAAATTAAATCGATTATTGATTCGGATAGTTTTTAGTTAACATTAATATAGATTTAAATTCTGAATTTAACTCAAATAAGTAATGAAATAAGATCATATAACTATTTGTATCCTATAAAAAAACCAGTTTATGAAGTTTTAATTGTCTGATATGTAGGTTCTCTTGTGGAATGAAATAATCAATATAAACTGGCTCTTCAGAAAAAAACTAAAATCAAAAATTCGGTCGGAATTGGAACTGAATACTTTATTCTAAAATGATCAAATCATCAAATGCACACGAAAACTTCAGATTCTGATATAAGTAAAGTTCTAGTGTAGCATTTTTAATATTCAAATAGTAGCAAAAAACATGAAAATCAACTTTTGTATAATTCACCTTACCTATCAACTTATTGATGTTTGTCTAAACAACATGTGTTTTTACTTTCTCTTTTTCTTCTGCAAGATTACATATGAAAAAATATTTGAAATTTTTTATATTCAAGTTTGTAACTGTAACAACCGAATTAGATGAATAATAGCTATTATCATCAACGATAAAGCGATTGTTCAAATAGATGTAACGTTCAATAATATACTGAAGCATAAGATAATAAATAGAAATTTCAAAGCTTTATCAAATTTTCAATTTTTTCAATACTTAGAAATTATTTTAATGAATATTGTATTAATTAAAGAGTATATAGAAGTCTTGACATTTTTAAAAACGCTATAAAAGACAGTCCGACATGTATGTATTGCTATTCCTTAAGAAAAGAATGTTATAATAAAATGAAAAATGATGTTGCATTAATTGAGAACTAATATTCAAAGATAAGAATGATACAATAAGAGTGTCATCAAAATCGATTCAGTTTTAAAAAGAAATATTTTTTCAAGACGAGATAAACCATAGAAGTATTTGATTGTGATGAGACATTTCACGAAATAATTTTCTCGTCCAACCACATTCTAATCAAAGTTTTGATCTACAGAAAGTTTAGTCAGTTAGAAAAAAAAAACAATTTCTTAATCTTGATATATTTTATGCATAAACCATGACACATCATGTTAACTTAACGATTTCTGTCAACTGGTAATAGGTTTTTCCAGATGTGAGTGTATTTTTGAAACGATAACACATGTGTTCGAATTCAAACGTTTATTTTTGAAACAACAGTAAAATCGACAACAAACAAAAATACAAACAAAAAAGAGAGAAACGCATATGAACAGAAAAACAATCGAAATACGATCGACTGAACTAAACTTAACAATGATGAAATCGAAAGTAACTATATATATGTAAATGACATCAATAATACGTACAGTAACAACATTCATAGAGAAGATGAGATAAGAGAATTAATTTGAAGACCAACAAGTCCGTCACAACAACATTTATGTAGAGATGAATAATATAGTTTGTTAACTAGAAGTACAAAAAAACACGAAGAAGCGTAGAAATATACGCATTTGTTGCCTTCATCTTTATATATAACATCTGCTGGTATTAAACTGGTACTTCTGGTTGTTCACAAAGCACTCTTGGTTAATACTACTACTAACTAAGCCCAATGATTAGTAGTCATCTGTTTAGTTGTGACAACGGAATCGTTAAAGCCTTTTGTGCTCGATTGCTTCTGCTGATGGTAATTGGGCGTATCGTTCCCCGTTGACAACGAAATAAATGCATGAGTTCACGACGAAATAATTTACTTGACAATGTAAATAAGTAGAAACTCAAGCATGCACCGCCATTGGTTATATAAGAGACTATATTGGAAACCAGACTGAGTCTGGCTGTTTGAAGAGCATTCGCCACATTATTACTTATTGCCGAAGAGTAAATAAAAAAGACCGAGTTTGGAGTTGTTGTCAAAGTATAAAAAATAAATTGAGCAATCATCATTTGTATCAATTGTCGATCAGTTGCCTTTTGACGTTGTTGTGTTTCGTTTTGAGTTTGAGAAAGATTGGTATTTGGTACAACTCGTTTCACCGATCGGCGAATATTCCGAATGGTGAGTAATCCAAAACTAAGCATGCCGATAGGTGGACCCATACTGAATAGAAATAAATTAAAAATGCCGAGAAATATTGTGTAGGTTCCTGGAAGGAAGGCACACGATGGTGCTGCGCTCAGTCGAGTATAGAAGGCAACATGTATATAAGTGAGACCAACAATCACAATCGTGAGTGAAACAGCAGGAGTAACAACACGAATACTACTCCATGCACGAATGGTAACAGACTGTGAGCTGCAGAGAAACCTGTGTAAGATAAATGGAATTTTTAATAAATTGAGTCAAAATTGTTTTTAAACTGACTAATAAATGTTATTGTTTAAGTTCTACAGAGACTATTCTTTTAAAAAATACTAGTTGCGTATAAAACAAAAAAATGACTTCAGGATTGTGTTTATCAATTGAAGAACTTCTGGTTTCGCATGATACTATCGTTTTAGAAAACACAATAACTCACTAACCAAGTCGAACTCGAACTTATTTGTTAGAGATAGTTGAATACAATTAGACTATAAATTTTAAACAAAACTATTGATCGAGTTATCATTAGTGAAGATAAAATGAGCTTCTGTTGACTGTTTTACATGATCTATTTAATTTTCATATAATACATCCTTTTTTGTTCTACTTCAGTGCAGTCAAATTAATTGTGTTGATCACGATATGTGTCTTCTATACAGCATAATCTTTTATTCTTTCCTCTCTGGAATTTCACTATTTTCTGTACGACGACAAATAATGGTTCGTAGTGATGTAATGCCAATATTAGCAAGAAACAAACTGCTCATATTTATATAATAACATTAAAAACTTAGTTATAGTCTATAAATGAATAATGTAGTAGCGATTTGTGATTCATTGTCTACTCTTAGGGGTGCGGTGTGTGTGCAAGTGAGAGAGACTATCCACATCCACACCCACACCCTCATCTGTAACATGACTCTTAGTTGAGATAAAAGCATTCAAGTTAGGATTGTATGTAATGCTTAGAATATCAAGTTATTTTAGTTAATCGATTGTAATACTAACAGATCGGCACAAGCAAGTACGATAATCCATGATGGTAAAGCTCTAAAACAACACAGAAAACACATTCATTTTTATCTTCTACAAACATCGTTCTTACTTGATCGAATTCAAAAACCAAGTTAGAATTCCGCATATTGCAGCCGAGCTCACAAAAGCATCAATATTATATCCCGCTTGAAGAAGTCGCAGAGGTACAAGAATAACGACAACAGCCATACCAATCATTGCCGATGCCAAAAAATACCGTGCACATGGATTTGAATAAAGTGATCGACGTGTAAACACATAAATGCTTAATGTATGGCCAACAAAACCACAAGAAATCATTGTGAAACACCAAACTTTAATAAATAGAATTTTACTGTGTTGGAGAGCATTAATAGTATCGACATTACTACTAGTAGTGTTTGAACCCGAAGATGACATTTTGCTGTTGAATATATGGTGTACTAAAAAATAGTCGAAATAATCGTCTCCGTATAAATAACACGTGCGAGAAGAAGAGAGAATTAAGAAAGAGAAAGGAGTAAATGATACCGAATATGATATCAATAATATGATGAAGAAGATCATCTGAGTGATCATAACCGACTAAAAAAAGCAGGAAAAGGATCTATGTGAAAGTCATCCTCTACCAAGAAACTGATCTGGATCTTATGGTAAAGATACTGACAGATTGTTCATTTATTTTACATTTAACTTATATACTTGTCATTTATTAAATTAACCTGTCTAGTTCTTTATCAAACTTCATGTAGGAAATCGTATGATTTGTATATGAAGTGTGTTTATTACAGCTTCGGTTCTTGTGAACCGATTTTGAAAATTAATATTTTTATCGTATCCATGTGCATACTTCTGGATGAACTTCCAGTCTTTAGAGCATTAATCGGTCGAGATATTCGTATCCAATGTGAAAAAACTCGATTTTTTATGATTCATCGAAACACAAACTAGTTTTTCTGTGCAAAGATTTAAACTACTGATATGTTAATCTATTCATAAAATAAACTATCAACTTTTGTCTGTGAGGTCAAAAGTTTTTGATTAAAGTTTATAGAAAAACCTTTTCTTTACTATAAATATCAAGTCGATCAACTTCAAAAAATCAATTAGAGATTCAGATTCTTTGACAATGATAATCTTTGTTCAGTTTATAAAATATCGTTATTTTCTCTCAATCTTCTCTCCCTGATGACAAAATGAAGCTCAAAGATTCTCAGTTATTTCATACTATAACTACTCTAACTTTTCTTTTTATGAAGTGAAAGTGCTATTTGTAATTCTGCCCTGATGTGTGGGTATTATATGTGTTTTAGAAATCTGAAAATTGCCAATTAAAAGATAAATACTTACTTAGTGAAATAAATAATTCTGAGTACCTGCTGAATTTCTTGTTGCACTATCAAATGTGAAAGTTCTTCTCTAGATATTAATTTCATTTTTACAGGTGAAAAGGATAATTTTTATAATATTAGCATTCTATGCTTGAGGATGGTAAAGAAACTGCGTCGTTCATCGATATTAATTGAAAATCGGTTTAATTTATCAAAAGCCGCCAGATGTGACATTAAAATGCAAATCCTTCTGAAATACACGGTCAGGTACTTTTTTTATTACTTTCTGTGAAAGAAAAACAATTAAGTTTATTTATTGTACTTAGGATTCAAGGAGAAGACAGTAAGAACTCATGAATAATCTTAAAATTAAAACCCTTACGAAGAGATTCATAAGGAAAACGGATATTTTATATTTAAGAATTGTAAATGTAACATGTAAGATGATAGCAAATTTACTTTTCCCTTCAAGTCATTTTTTGTCTTTTTCTTTCTACAACAAAATAAATTTATGTTAGATGAAAAGTATTATTGATAAATAAAAATATAAAACTGTTCCATATGCAAATTAAAGGTATTATCATTACCTCATCAGTAATATGAAATTTAACGGTCGAATTCAATCAATGAAGACGTTTTCGGATATTCGCAGTATACGACCTGTCATTGTAGGATACTCTCAGTGAAAGTGCCACAAAATGACAAACAAGATGTCTTTTGAAAGTATCTGAATTAAATAGATAATTGCCGCAATATCTGAAAACGTCTTCATTGATTGAATTCGACATTTAGATTTCATATTACGAATGAATTCATGATGTTAGTTTTAATTTACATATGAAATAGTTTTATATGTTTATTTATCAATAATGTTTTTCATTTAGCATGAAAGAAGAAGTAAATTTGTTATGATAATCTAAGAGCAAAGAAATCTTCCCATCACAAGTGATTACATCATATTCAGTAAATTATCAGAAAAGAGATAAATATATTTGTTAGCATCTTGCATGTTATATTTGCAATTCTTAAATATAAAATATCTTTTTCTTAAGAATCTCTTCATGAGCTTTTTAGTTTTAAGATTACTTATGAGTTGTTACTGTCATCTTATCGAATTCCAAAAATACAATAAATAAACTTAATTCTTTTTCTTTCGCAGATGGTATTGAAAAAGTACTTGCTGGTGTATGTTAGAAGGATTTGCATTTTAAGGACATATCTAGCGGCTTTTCATAAATTAAACCGATTTTCAATTAATGTCGATAGACGACGCAGTTTCTTTACCATCCTCAAGCATAGAATGCTAATATTATTATAAAAATTCTTTTTTTCATCAATAAAAATAGAATTAATATCTAGGGAAGAACTTTCACATTTGATAGTGCAACAAGAAATTCAGCAGGTACTCAGAATTATTTATTTCACTAACTGTTCATGTTTTGATTGAGAACTTTTAGATTTATAAAGTACATATAATATCCACACTCATACCCTGCTTTCTATTCGTAGAGAGTATTTCCAATCAATTCTTATTGTTCGGTTCAACATTGAGATTGTAACGTGGATAATTTCAGTCATTACCAAGCAACCCATCATCTACCATGTCTTAACAGTACAATTATTTCATCCAAAAATACAATATTTCTAAGTACTATTCGATCATTTACAAGAACTATAAATATTTGATTTGTTTTTTTTTTGTCAAATTTGATTTATTATAAATAAAAAAATAATCAAACTATTTTTGATAATTACTGAAAATATTCAAAGATCAGAATGATACAATAAGAGTGTCATGAAGATCGATTCAGTTTTAGAAAGAAATATTTTTTCAAGTCGAGATAAGCTATAGAAGTATCTAATTGTGATGAGACGTTTCACGGAATATTTTCTCGTTCAGTCGCATTCTAATGGAAGCTATGATCTACAGAACGTTTAGTCAGTTAGAAAAAAAAACAATTTCTTAATCTTGATATATTCTATGCATAACCTATGACACATCATGCTAATTGAACATGACTGACAAAAATATCTTGAGGGTGTGGGTCTTGATAACTAATGAACATCCATCCACACCCATACCCATTATCATTTAGATTTATTCACAAGTAATTCCCATTTGATCTATAACTTCATCTTAAAACAGAACTAAATACAATCGATCAAACCCAGTCGACCCTTTACCAGTTTTTGTCTCGTTTAGTTGATTGTCAACTTAACCATTTCTGTCAACTGGCAACAGGTTTTTCCAGATGTGAGTGTATTTTTGAAACGATAACACATGTGTTCGAATTCAAACGTTTATTTTTGAAACAACAGTAAAATCGACAACAAAAAAAAAATACAAACAAAAAAGAGAGAAACGCATATGAACAGAAAAACAATCGAAATACGATCTACTGAACTAAACTTAACAACGATGAAATCGAGAGTAACTATATATATGTAACTAACATCAATAGTACGCACAGTAACAACATTCATAGAGAAGATGAGAAAAGAGAATTGATGTGAAGACCAGCAAATCCATCACAACAACATTTACATACAAATAAATAAAATACTTCGTTGACTAGAAGTACAAAAAAACACGAAGAAGGGTAGAAATACACGCATTTTTTACCTTCATCTTTATACATAACATCTGCTAGTATTAAATTGGTACTTCCGGTTGTTCACAAAGCACTCTAGATTAATATTACTACTAACTGAACCTAATGATTAGTAGTCATCTGTTTAGTTGTGACAACGGAATCGTTGCAGCATTTTGTGCTCGATTGCTTCTAATGATGGTAATTGGACGTATCGTTCCCCGTTGACAACGAAATAAATGCATGAGTTCACGACGAAATAACCTACTTGAAAATGTAAAAAGGTAAAAACTCAAGCATGCACCACTAAGGGTGATATTGGCGACTATATTCGAAGCCAAACTCAATCTGGCCGTTTGAAGAGCATTCGCCACATTATTACTTATTGCCGAAGAGTAAATAAAATAGACCGAGTTGGGAGTTGTTGTCAAAGTATAAAAAATACATTGAACGATCATCATTTGAATCAATTGTCGATCTGTTGCCTTTTGACGTTGTCGCGTTTCGTTTTGAGTTTGAGAAAGATTGCTATTTGGTACAACTCGTTTCACCGATCGGCGAATATTCCGAATGGTGAGTAATCCAAACGTAAGCATACCGATAGGTGGACCGGTACTGAATAGAAATAAATTAAAAATGCCGAGAAATATTGTATAGGTTCCTGGAAGGTAGCCGCATGATGGTGCCGCGCTCAGTCGAGTATAGAAGACAACATGTATGTAAGTGAGACCAACAATCACAATCGTGAGGGAAACAGCAGGAATAACAACACGAATACTACTCCATGCACGAATGGTAGTAGACTGTGAGCTGCAGAAAAACCTGTGTAAGATAAATGGAATTTTTAATAAATTGAGTCAAAATTGTTTTTAAACTGACTAATAAATGTTATTGTTTAAGTTCTACAGAGACTATTCTTTTAAAAATATTAGTTGCATATAAAACAAAAAAATGACTTCAGAATTGTGTTTATCAATTGAGGAACTTCTGGTTTCGCATGGTACTATTGTTTTAGAAAACACAATAAGTCACTAACCAAGTCGAACTCGAACTTATTTGTTAGAGATAGTCGAATGCAGTCAAACCATAAATTAAGAAAAAATTATTGGTCGAGTTGTCATTAGTGAAGATAAAATGAGTTTCTATTAACTGTTTTACACGTTCTATTTAATTTTCATATAATACACCCTTTTTTATTCTACTTCAGTGCGATCAAACTAATTGTGTTTATCACGATAGGTGTCTTCTATACGGCATAATTTTTTATTCTTTCCTCTCTGGAATTTCACTATTTTCTGTATGACGACAAATAATGATTTGTAGTGATGTAATGCCAATATTAGCAAGAAACAAACTGCTCATATTTATATAATAACATTAAAAACTTAGTTATAGTCTATAAATGAATCATTTAGTAGCGATTTGTGATTCATTGTCTACTCTTAGGGGTGCGGTGTGTGTGCAAGTGAGAGAGACTATCCACATCCACGCCCACACCCACATCGATACCATGACTCTTAGTTGAGATAAAAGCATTCAAGTTAGGATTGTATGTAATGCTTAGAATATCAAGTTATTTTAGTTAATCGATTGTAATACTAACCGATCGGCACAAGCAAGTACGATAATCCATGATGGTAAAGCTCTAAAACAACACAGAAAACACATTCATTTTTATTTTCTATAGACATCTTTATTACTTGATTGAATTCAAAAACCAAGTTAGAATTCCGCATATTGCAGCCGAGCTCACAAAAGCATCAATATTATATCCCGCTTGAAGAAGTCGCAGAGGTACAGAAATAACGACAACAGCCATACCAATCATTGCCGACGCCAAAAAATACCGTGCACATGGATTTGAATAAAGTGATCGACGTGTAAACACATAAATGCTTAATGTATGGCCGACAAAACCACAAGAAATCATTGTGAAACACCAAACTTTAATAAACAGAATTTTACTGTGTTGGAGAGCATTGATAGCATCGACATTACTACTAGTAGTGTTTGTACCCGAAGATGACATTTTGCTGTTGAATATATGGTGTACTAAAAAATACTTGAAATAATCGTCTCCTTGTAGATAACATGTGTGAGAAGAAGAGAGAGGATTAAATGATGCAGATTATGATATCGATAATATAATGAAGAAAATCATGTAGGAGATCATAACCGACTAACAAAAATAGGAAGAGGATCTCTGTGAAAGTCATCCTCTACCAAGAAACTGATCTGGATTTTATGGTAAAGATACTGACAGATTGTTCATCTATTTTACGTTTAACTTATATACTTGTCATTTATTAAATTAACCTTTCTAGTTCTTTACCAAACTTTATCTAGGAAATCGTATGATTCGGATATGAAGCGTCTTTATCACAGCTTCGATTCTTGTGAACCGATTTTCAAAATTAAAATTTTTATCGTATCCATGTGCATACTGCTATTTGAACTACCAATAAGTTAATCTATTCATAAAATAAATTGTCAACTTTATCTGTGAGCCCAAAAGTCTTTGATTAGCGTTTATCGAAAAATCTTTTCATTACTGCAAATATCAAGTCCATTAACTTCAAAAAACCAATTAGAGATTCAGATTCTTTGACTATGATAACCTTTGTTCAGTTTATAAAATATCGTTATTTTCTCCAAATCTTCTCTCCCTGATGATAAAACGAAGCTCAAAGATTCTCTGTGATTTTATGCTATAATTACTATAGCTTTGCTTTTTATAAAGTTAAAATGCTATTTCTAGTTCTGCCATGATGTGTGGATATTATATGTATTTTATAAATGTAAAATTATCAATTAAAACATAAATACTTACTTAGTGAAATAAATAATTCTCAGTATTCGTTGAATTTCTTGTGGCACTATTAAATGTGAAAGTCCCTCTGTAGATATTAATTATATTTTTACAGGTAAAAAAACAATTTTTATAATAATAATATGAGCATTATATGCTTGAGGCTGCTATAGAAATTGCGTCTTTCATGATCATTAATTGAAAATGAGTTTAACTCATCAAAAGCTGCCGGATATGGCATATAAATGGAAATCCCTCTGACGTACACGAGCAGACACATTTTCATTACTGTCTGTGAAAGAAAAGTAATTAAGTTTATTTATTATATTTAGAAGTCAATGTGTACACAGTAACAACTCATAAATAATCTCAAAGCTAAAAACCTTACGAAAAGATTCTTAAGAAAAACGGATATTTTATGTTTAAGAACTGTAAATGTATCATGTAATATGTTAACAAATATATTTATCTCTTTTCTGGTAATCTACTGAATATGACAAAATCACTTGTGATGAAAAGATTTCTTTATTGTTAAGTGTTCATAACAAATTTACTTCTTCCTTCAAGTGATTTGTTGTCTTTTTTTTCTACAACAAAATAAATTCATGTGATGGTAGGTCGTATATTGCAAATATCTTCATTGATTGAATTCGACCGTTAAATTTCATATTACTGATGAGCTAATGATATTACTTTTAATTTACACATGAAACAGTTTCATATGCTCATTTATCAATTATATTTTTTAGTTAGCATGAATTATTTCTGTTATAAAAAGAAAACGAGAAAAAATGACTTGAAGGAAAAAGTAAATTTGTTAGCATCTTACCTGTTATATTTACAATTCTTAAATATAAAATCTTCGTTTTTCTTAAGAATCTCTTCGTAAGGTTTTTAACTTTGAGATTATTTATGATTTGGTACTGTATACTCATTGAATTCTAAGTACAATAAATAAGCTTAATTATTTTTCTTTCGCAGAAAGTAATACAAAAGTATCTGCTGGTGTATGCCTAAATCATTTGTATTTACATGTTACATCTGGCGGATTTTGATGAGTAAACCCGATTTTCAATTGATGTCGATGAAAGACGCAGTTTCTATACTAATCTCAAGCATAGAATGCTAGTATTATAAAAATCGTACTTTTCACCTGTAAAAATAAAATTAATTTCTAGAGAAGAACATTCACATTTGTTAGCGCAATAAACAATACAACGAGTACTCAGAATTATTTATCTCGCTAAGTAAGTGTTTATCTTTTAATTGGCAGTTTTCAGATTTATGAAACGCATATGATAGCCACACCTACACGCTGCTTTCTATTGGTAGAGAGTATTGCCTTACAATACTTATTGTTCGGTTCAACATTGAGATTGTAACTTAGAAAAAGTTCAGTCATTACCAAGCAAGCTATCATCTTCCATGTCTTAACAGTATAATTATTTCATCCAAAAGTACAACATTTCTAAGTATTATTCGACCATGTACAAGAACTATAAATATTTTATTTGTTTTTTTGTCAAATTTGATTTATTATAAATAAAAAAGTAATCAAACTATTTTTAATAATTACTGAAAATATTCAAAGATCAGAATGATACAATAAGAGTGTCATCAAAATCGATTCAGTTTTAGAAAGAAATATTTTTTCAAGTCGAGATAAGCTATAGAAGTATCTGATTGTGATGAGTCGTTGCACAGGATAATTTTCTCGTTCAGTCATATTCTACTCAAAGCCACGATCAACAGAAAGTTTAGTCAGTTAAAAACAAAAAAACAGTTCTTTAATTTTGATATATTTTATGCATAACCTATGACAGATCATGTTAATTGAATATGACTAACAAAAATATCAAGATAATTTATTGTCAAAAAAGGTTAGTTGATATATGCAATGAAGTAGATTTATAAGAACTACTATTCTATATCATCTTTTCTTTCTATAACCTTGCATGACGTCCATGAAATAAATGTTGTCTAAACATTCGACTTGTTGCTGTATATAAATAGAATGTTGTACCATGACCACCGGTTGAAATAAGTCCACCAAGTACTAGAAATAAATTCTCTTTTGCTAATTGAAGATTACTTTTCGAATAACCTGTTGTTATTGAAACATATAGCTGACTAATTGAAAATAAAGTTGTAGTTAAACCAATACATAAACATTGAACTAAAGCCATACGAAGCAAACCTTTTTCTTTATACAAAGTCCTTTCAGCTTGATTTGCTTGATTTATAGAAGGAGCTATTCTTCGATGTTTAACATGTCGAATAGTAAGAACAGAAAAGACAAACATAAGAAAGGGGGGTCCTGACCCATAAATAATTACATGCCAAAAACCAAGAAATATTCTATAAAAACCCGGTTGACCAGCACATATAGGTGGAATTCCATTGATTGTATAAAAAATAGGTATATGTATATAACCTATAAAAACTAATAGAATCGTAATTGGAATTGTATAGGAAGCAACTTTAAAACTACTCCATTGTCGATAAGTAATATTGGGTGAACTGCGTAGAAATCTAAAAGAAATGAAAATAATTTAAATAAAATCTAATATTTACAAATTTGCTTACCGATCTATACAAGCAAGAACAAGAAACCACGATGCTAATGCTCTAATAATATATATATTTGAAACAAAAATGAAACTTTGATTAAAATATCTTACCTCGTTGGAAATGTGATATAATATTCTATTTTACAAAATCCCAATAAATAATAAGTTGGATCAATATTGAATCCATATTGAAGTATTCGAAAAGGCATACTAACAAAATAAAATATAGAGCATGCTATTGTTGATGATAGAAAATACATTGCACATGGATTTCTTCTTAAAGATCGTTGTGTAAAAACATAAATATTTAATAAATTACCACTAATGCCAAATATAAAGAATACGACATCCCCCCAAATAGTAAGTTGACTACTTAAACGATTAAGTGTATTAATTTCATTCAAAATGGTAGCATTTGATGAAGACATATTATCGAAATAAGAATATTTTACTCTGAAGAATGAAATGAAGATAGAATTACTTATATCAGAACATGTTAATAAGTCTTAAATATCTCTCACTTATAATGTATATATTATGCGAAGGAATGCTAACTATAGGATACGAGTGTGAGATAAAACGAAGAGATCCATAACTACTTATTATTGCATTTACAATAATATGTAGGATAAATTCAAAGAATTCTTTTTCTAACTAGTGTGAGTTAATTACAAGTTACAAAAGCAAAAGGTAAATCAGTCTACTAATATCAAGATACAACTTATCCATCTTAAATTTTATGTATTATAATACTAAGAGATCATAAAAAAAAATATTCTTATAATGGTAAATAATTTTCCAAAGATTAACGTAGCGCATATAATAGTGTCTGACTAATACTTAAAGGACGTATTTGCTTATATATTTAGAACGGGAAAAATAAAAATACGACATCGATTTTAAATAAAAAAGATGAAACAGAATAGCGTTAATATTTTAATTAATAAATGAGAGGGTGCAAAAAAGAAAAAACTAATTGATTCTAGTCGAATAGCATTACAGAATTTATTTGGTATACTTTTGTTAGTACAAAAAGTATTTTTAAAAAGAAAACAACTGGTAACGCGGCTTTAGAAAATGACTAGATTGATGTTTTTAAATGTCGTGTTAAATAGATACACTACATGTTTTTCTAATGAGTTATTCAAGTATTTGGTAATTTTTGAACAAAGTAATGAAGAAATTGTCTTAAAATAAAACTATTCGATATCCTTCGTTGGAAACTATTCTAATGTAGGATAAGAAATGAGTTCTTAGTTCTATGATATATCATATAATTAAGACGCATTAGTTATATTTTACTTTAGAAAATACCAACTTGATCACGCTTCATCGATAAACTAAAAACAATGGATTTAAATTTTCTTCTTTGTAGTTTTTCTATTCTTAATAAGAGAAAGTTTATTGTAATGACTATCTTCGACACAGCACTACTCATCCGCTTTCATTTTTATTACAATAAAGAGTATATCATGTTTAAAATGACACAGTTCCTTAATTATTAACATGCGATATACCATAAAATCTTTAGTTTAAGATTTAATTAAGACATGATCTTTTACTCGTTGTCTATGTACTGAAATCATTTGGCTGGTATATTCGAAACTGTCTATTTCAATTAAATCTGCGAGAATCTTTTTTTTTATTATTCATTAATTCACTGAGAAATTAAATTATTTATTATACATAAAAGAAAAATCTGTATATTTCATTATTGTGCGTTTGTTTTTTATGTTGTTGGTACACTTCGACGTTGTCGTATTGTTCGAATCGGAGGAAAATGTACTTGTTCATTATAAATTGATGAATATAACTCATCGATTCTTGTTCTTAATGCTGATGGTCTACATGTATATATTTGTAAAATATTTAGATATTGTGTATGGATACGACATCTAATCAAAATAATTCAAATTTCATTTCTATGAATAATTAGAAATAAATAACATACTGTTTTAATAATCGTCGTTGTCCTTCTGATGAATGTTGTACAAGACAATCGATAGTTACAGCTGCATTACCATGTAAAAGTATATTTGAACTATTTAATAATGAAATCAAATGTTCAAGACCATCACTAGCAATAATTGCTTCACATACACCTATTTAATAAAGAAAAAGAAAAACATTGAAATCTTTTTATTTAATTGAAAAAAAACAAAATCTTCACTTTTCAAGGAGAAGAAACTAAAAACATGCAAATAGTTTGTTATTCATTCTTCATGCAATTATACGAATCAGATTTTCAAACCTGAATGTTTATGTAATCCGAAACCTTAAATAATTTTATTAAATTATCATATTTTAATTATTTGAAAAAAAACGAACCTGTAGGTATATGTGCTAATCGACCAATAATATCAGTGGGTAAAATTTTTTCTTCATCATCAATACGTTTATTACTAATAACTCGAAATAAAATCATTAATGCGCGACCAATCCATTCCGCTGCAGTTCTATCATTTATAAGACGAATTACAATAATCATCTAAAAATATCTATAATTATATTTGTATACTTTAAACTCAAATATTACTTGAAATGCTGCATTACAACGAACAGGAATATTTTCTGATGTTAATAATTCTTGAAAATGTTCAGGATCAAGGGATAGTTCTTCGGAACAAAGAGTATAATAATTAATATCATTACAAATAAAAGTAACTAATCTAAATAAATAAAGATCTTTTTTTGATTCTTATTAATATTATTTTACATACCCAGCGCCAGCTTCAATACGAATATTTTCATCGGCAGCATTAAGTAATGATGCAATACGTATAAATAATTGTTTAACCTCTACCGTTGTTAATATTTCTTTATTTTCTTTATGATCTGTAATTGAGAAAATTAATTAAGGGAAATATTCTATTTAAATATACCGAATATAACATAAGCAATAGTTGTTATTGCTTTAGCTTGAAGAAGTCTATCTTTATTTGATCGACGAATGAATGCTAGAATTTGATTAATTCCATTAGCTTTTTGAAATATTGTTTGATTTATTCGACAAGGACGAAATGTTGGAAGAAGACATAATTGTTGAATACAATATAAACA